ATATATATATATCAACTTACCTATTCATAATATGTTTCTTGTGAGATATGTGAATGCATAGAAATTGGGCGGAATGTGTGTAAATTCTTCTAAATAAGTAAATGTACATAACGTAGAAGATTGCAAACCATTAGCAGATAAAAAATATTTAATTAGTTTAACATCTTTTTATTCATTATAGATGCTATTGTTCAACTTTGACATGTTACTGTTCTTGAAATCTAAATCAGAATTTACGAGCATTTTTCAATTGGGCGTTTACATACATACCACATAATTTTTATGTGTTTACTTATCAAATGACTAAACTTTCATATTTACATGCATAACCCTCTAATTTTTACTATCTTATTAAATATACCACTAATACTAACATTTTAAAAGTTAAGTTGACCTTCTCAAGCATAGATTCATGACTCCAAAGGTGTTAAAAATGTAAATATCAAACATTAGATGTTATAAAATATGCAAATGCAAAGAAATAGTGTGGTATGTATCTAAACTTCCTTTTCCATACATCATGATTACAATTATGGGATTAATCTTCCGTAAATATTATGTGTTGTTATTATTATTTAAGTTGAATTAATCTTGATCTATGTCTAATTAATAGTAATTATTACTCTTTCTCTCCATCGTTTCGAAAGTTAATTGGCTGGAGAAATATGTGCGTACGGAAAACGTACAGAATTGCCTACATTTTAGGTTATTCGGAGGGTATAACTAGATTACACTTAAGTTATGTCTCCTTGTAATTCTTCCTGTAACCTAAGTGTAACCTAGCTGTACCATCCGAATTACCTAAAATGTTAAAATTGGCTGGAGAAATATGTGCGTACGGAAAACGTACAGAATTGCCTACATTTTAGGTTATTCGGAGGGTATAACTAGATTACACTTAAGTTATGTCTCCTTGTAATTCTTCCTGTAACCTAAGTGTAACCTAGCTGTACCATCCGAATTACCTAAAATGTACGCAACTCTGCGTACTTTTTCCGTACGCAAATATTTCTCAATTGACTTGAGTTATTGAATGAATGTTAATTTTATGATTGAGCAAGAGGCAAAAAGAGTCAACATTGTGTAAATGTAGTACATTGTTTGATGAAATAAGCATAATATTAAAAATTAGAAATGCAAAATTGTGAAGGATTATTTTCACCCCTTCTTATTCTTACCATTTTTTTTTTTTCACCAAGAAATAACATTTTAATTTGCTTTATATCTCATTTTATTTATGAGTTATTTTACATATTAAGGACTTCAAAACCTGCTATTTACATATTAAGGTCTTGAAATATTTTATTTACATACGCCGTTAGACCTTTATGTTTTCTTTTCATCCTCCGCCAAATTTTAATATGTAAATAAGAAAAGTTAGAGACTTTAATACGAAAAACTCATTTATTTATTCAAAGTAACACATTTAATTAAAAATATTATGAAATAAATTATGAATATGCGATAAAATTTATGATTTTGAAGACATAACTATCTCCAACAACTTCGGATATGTATTTAGAGTAATTTTAATTTTATTTTTATTTATTTTAGATGCATTTGGACATGAAATGAAGTTTATTAAATCAGAGCTATACATTAAGAAGATCATCAGCATAGTCAGCTTAGTCAACTGACGACCAAGTGCTTAGCTAGTTTGATCTACATCCAGAGCAAGGTCAATATTATCTGTTAAGTAAATGTTTTTAGAATAATAAAGATAAAAAGCAGAGCCTTAAATCATAGTGACCATCATAATCATTAACTTCGGATCTGTTTGGAGCGTTTAATGCTGCTTTATGTTTCAGACAGTCACCATAATTTCGTTTTAGGAATTGCTGTCATTTTCTAGAAATTTATGTGGTATAATTTTCTTATTATTATTTTTCAACTAACCTTTTAAAGTTTGGTGGTTGCAAGAAAACTATTTTCTATTCTATATATATAATTCTCGCCGTGACTTTCTAAAAAGTTGATTTCTTCATCACAACTTTACAACCACATTTTAAAAAAAATTACAACTGTTTAAAGAAACAACTGTGAAACTACTGCAGAAGAAATTGGTATTCAATATTATGATGACTACTATATATATATATCGTATCTTTTTGGCGGCCACAACACTTAAGAGCTGTTTGACAACCGATTTTAAGCAAAATTTAAGCAAGATTTAAGATAAGTCCTTCCAAACGGCAAAAAATGCCTCTATAAATCCTTAGCTATTGTTAATCCCAAAATGATGTTGCTTTCCAGCTTCTCAATAAATCTGAGATTCACTAAATCTTGTGAATCAGTGGATTTAGTAAATCCGGGTTGATCAAAGAGGAAGCATGGCGCAAACAACTTTAACTTCCTCAATTGTTTCTGATATGAGCTGAGCGAAAGGATGAAAAGGATGGAAGTTTCGGTGGTATTTGAAAGTCGCGATCATATTGTTGTTTTCCCAAGTAGCTTTAATGGTGACAATATTGCAGAAGTCTTTTGGGTGACAACGGGAGAGGAGTTACATAAACGAAGGTTTTGGAAAGAGATGGGAAGTTTGGGCGAAACCAGAAGAGGAGAAGATTGTAGGCGAGGCTTTCAACAAAGATGGAAAGAGAGAGATAGGTTTGTGATTTTAATTTATTTTTATTTAAGTTAATATATTGATTTAATAGATTAATAATTAAAAATTAATTTTAATTTTATCAAATTAATTATAATTAGATAAATTTATATGTAATTATGTAATAGTTAATTAATGAATAAAAATATTTTTTAAGTTTAAATTATTAATAAAAATCTAAGCAATTCTTAATTTATATAATTAATAATTACTTAATGTTAATTTTTTGGCTAATAAGAAATTGGTTTAAAAAAAATTATTAATTATTAATTTATATAAATAATTATTATTTAATGTAAATGTCCCTTTTTTTAGATACTTTGAGGTTTTAGATCATAATTGCATTTTTTTAATGTAATCATTTTTTTTGGATGTTTAGTAAATTATGATAAATCCTGCTAAATCTTTCTCAGGCTAGCAAAAAAATTCTCAAGATTTACATATTAACATACCAAATATTTTTTATGATTTAACTATTTAAAGATTTGATAAATTTGGATTTATATGATTTACTAAATCCTATTTGAACTAAATCCTACTTGCAACCAACAATCATTTAGGCTTCATTTAAGAAAACATTAAAGCTCTGTTCGGTTGCTATGAACGACCGCAACATCAATTTTTTGTCATTTTAAAACTTAGATGATAATGCTCTTTCCACTACACGACTTTTCAAGGCGTTTAGCTTAATGGCTAAGCATTAGCTAGGTTAGTTTGCAAAATACAACTTTCCACCACAACTACTAAAAAAAAAAACATAAAATATAATTTTGTCAAATGTCACAAAGTACTGTGCCTAAACAAAACCTTAGTTGTTAGACAATCACCTCTCTAATCTTCAATAATATTATATACTTCTATGGTTCTAATAAATTCTAATTTATCTCATATAAAAATATATATATCAATGATGCAAGATAATAGACCACTTATCTTTACATTAAGTACTCTACCCAAGATGTCATCAACCGTACAAAATGGACTAAAAAAGGCTTAGCTACTTCCATCCAAAGCAAGTTGAACATTGGGTGTGACCATACATGATTTTATAAATAGTTGAATTAAATAATGATCTTACATGTCATCCCATCTTTCAATTTACACCCTTACAATATTTTTAATTTCATAGAACATACCGAGGATAAATATAATTTTATATCATAATCGAAGATTCCAACAAGGTTTCTAAGAACGTTCCTCGAAAAAGCCCGATGGGAGTCATGTGGCATCCCCATATTGACCAAACGTGCTCTTTTAGCATGGCTAACTTCATTGAATTTAGAACATCTAAATAAGAGTTTATTAAGTAATGTATTTTCACATTTTTATACTTTTATATTGCAGTTTCAAATTTTTCTAGTCATATTCTTAGTGTGTTCATTATTTTCTTTCACAAAATAATCTTATAAATCTATAAATTATAAAATTCTTATGGGTTATCTGCCTTCATTTGTATAAGGATTCGGTCGCTTTTTAAAAAAAAATAGAAGAATTTACATATATGCGAGACATTTGTTATAGAATTATATATGATACATAATAATTTAGATTTATATTTATAACAAATTGGTGTTGTTCAATCGTTTTTAGACATATGGTTCTGTATCATCTGTGAGCTCATGTAACCTAGAAGAGACAGAGAAAAATAGGGTGAAAGAAGATGTTGGAGTCCGGAGGTATCTCCATTGAACATTCTTCAATCAGATGAAAGAGATGATCTAATCTCTTAGAGAGAGAGAGAGAGATGCACCGGAAGATCTCCTCCTCCCAATACATAAAGAGAAAATAATTTGAAGTTACTAAATCATCCCGACATATATGTAAAGTGGATGATAAATGATGATGAAGGATATGCCAGCCATTTCAGTTATTTTCCAATTACATATATGCCCAAATAAACATATAATTTCTCATATTTACACAATGTAATACTTCTTTGCCCACCAGTCCTTCTCCAAGGTCAAAGTAACTACCAGAAGAAAAAACAGAACAAGTTCCCCTTTTCTTCTCTAATCTTAAAAGCATCCGTCTCCACTCATCCTCAAGCTCCTCAATGGAATCATCTCCTCCACCTCTCCTCCCACTCACCTTCAATAACTCCGACGACACGCTCCTCTTCAATATCATTCTAGCCTCCCCCTCCTCCTCTGTCGGCCCCAAAGCTTCGACTTTAACCTCCGAATCCCGGCCAAAGGAGCAGAGGAGTTCCTACAGAGGCGTCCGCCGTCGGCCATGGGGTAAGTTCGCCGCTGAGATCAGAGACTCAACTCGGCATGGCGTCAGAGTGTGGTTGGGAACATTCGACACCCCGGAGGCGGCGGCGCTGGCTTATGACCAAGCTGCTTTATCTCTGCGCGGGCCAATGGCAATGCTCAATTTTCCGGTGGAGAAAGTGAGGGAGTCGCTCAGAGGAGTCGAGTATGGAGAGGAAGGGTGTTCGCCGGCGTTGGCGCTGAAGCGGCGCCACTCTGTTCTTCGGAAGTCGGCGGCGAAGAGGAAGGCGGTGGAGGGCGTGGTTGAGTTGGAAGACTTGGGAGCTGAATACTTGGAAGAGCTGCTTACTGCATCTGACGTCGCTGCAAGCTGCTGCTGATCGAATGGTTGCTCCCTTTTAATTGTGACAATTTAATCTGTTCTTTTTTTTTTTTTTGGAAAAATTTTGCATTTTGATTATAAAAATGTATTATTTGCAGACTGGAGTTGACGGTGCTATTTAATGGGCATAGAATTGTTTGCATAATGAGCACTTCATTTGATTGGAGTTCATAAAAAATGAAAGAGAAATTTACAGGGATACCACGCTATTCTTTTGTTTTTGTGGATCTATCGAATGTATAAAATTTGAAATTTATACTTTGATAAGCCGTGACTAAATTTTTTGGCAAACAAAGATCTCGAGATATGGCATGAAATTCAAATTCTTTTTTTTGGGTGGGAAAGATTCAAATTTCAATTAAAAATTATTCAGAATTTTGATTTTAGGAAACTTAATTTTAATTAAAAATGATCCAAAATTTTAATTTCAGCAAACTTATACTCGAACTGACCGACTCGACGAAACAAATAAAATGATATCGAAATTGGTCTAATCGGAGTTAAATCAAGCCAAAATCGAGGAGTTAAGTTATTTTTGGAAGTTTCTAGTGTCCATTAAAAAAATAAATGAATTTCAAATCTGATAACTTATAGTCTAATCGAACAACTCGATGAGACGAAACCAGCAAGCATAAGAGCACTCAACTGTGACATCACCAAGGCTTTCAAATGTTTAGGAAGTGTCGTCCGATTCAGAGAATCTCTTCGGGTCGTCTGATATAGTGAACTTGAATTCTTTTTTTTTATAAGAGGGAGAGGTTCAATGTTTTGCACGAAGGACCGACAAACGCCTCCCTCTCCTTCAGTCATAGACCATCATCGGCCTTCTTCTATTGACTATTGTTGACCACTGATAGTCGTTTCTTGCACTTTATAATGAAACTCCTTGCAGAATTACGATATACGTTACAAATCCCGACGTATGTTGCGAAGTAAAGAAGCACCCGACAAAGCAACACTTCTTCCTAAATGTTGTGCAGCAACATAACTCGAAAATGGTGTACAACACACACCACAGATGGTGTAATGACACATCCTAGAGATAGTGTAACAATGCACTTTGCATATGATATAATAACTTACTCTCAATACATGATCATGAGTAAAGCCGTATCAAGTATCTAGTGATAGTTTCATGCAATAACTGCTTAAAATTTCCATACTCATGAATAACTTTCATACTAAAAAGATGACGACTTCCTCCGATAAAAGCATCCAAAAAGCTCACCACGGAGTGGGCGAATGTTGAATCCACCAATGCATCAATCATTGGTATTGGGTAACTGTCCTTCAGGCAAGCAATGTCAGGTTGGCGAAGTCCGCACTCATCCCGCACTTGTTATTTGTCTTTTGCACCATGATTACGTTGGAGACCCATGTTTGTATTATACCTCTCGGATGTAGCCAACTTCATTCAATTTCTGCAGCTCCTCTTAAATGAGACCCGCCATAGACGTCACTGAAGACCTGATTTTCTGCTTCATTAGTTAGGCGATTGGCTTCACGTTCAGTCAGTAGTAGGCGACATCAAGCAGTATCCCGAACATCCATTTGGTTTACAACGAAAAGACATATTGATGCTCCGGACAGAAAATCTTTAGATCCTACATCAAAATTTTCATTAATTAAGAAAAATTTATCTGGTTCTTCGTTGACTGCAGGGATTTCAATAGTGCTCTTTCTGGTCTTGTGACCCCCTTCATGTCGTGTTGTAGATCGAGCGACTACTACTCCACACGTTCGACCATCAGGAAATATCTGGTCCATAACTGCTCCAAATTCCCCCGAAGCGTGATTATCTTTCTGTCACCAGAAAACTTCACTGCAACGTGATATGTTAAGACCACGACTTTGTAGTCAATCAATAGAGGCCAACATAAGATGGCATTATAGGGCCGACAATAAATCTACCACCAGGAAGTCTACCATCCATTTAAAGTGCTTCTCACTTTCTTCCGAAGTGACTGATAGTACAATTACTCACAAGGCCTTCTTTCTCTCGCCAGAGAAGCCATAATCGGACCAGTCC